GTGCGATAACCGACATTGGAGATAGCGCGAATTGCTCGATTCTGCATAATTTCAATATTACGTAATAAATTTTTATCAGCCAAGCCCCATGCAACAATGCCATATTGAATGTGTGACTGAAATAAGGAGTGGTAGACCATACGTAAAGTTGTGAGTGAAGCAAATCGCCGAAGTCTATATAGTATCCCAACTGACTTGGATAGTTTAACAGCCAGTTTGGATATTTGAATGTCCCCACTTCATTTTGTTATCAATATGAATACCCAGATATTTATAAAAATTTACATTTTCAAGTTCTGTGTCATCAATTTGGACTACTAAACCATTTTGTGCTTTACTTTTAGGTGATATTAACATAGTTTTAGATTATTTATGTTTATTGTTAATTTGTTTGATCGCATCCAGTTTGCTACTTTAACAATTCAGTGTTCACCCTTATTCAAGGGCTGCACAGGATTTGTCACTGTCAAGGAGATTGGTATCATCTGCAATAATTTCGAGAAATAATGAAGAACAATGAGTTATGTCATTAACATATACTAAAAATAACAATGGACCCAAACAGCTACCTTGTGGAACTCCATGAGTCACTGGTAAGGGAGGAGAACAATAAGAACCTACTTGAACATACTGTGATCGACCGCTTAAGTAACTAGAAATGAGTTTATTTGCTATACCCCTAATACCATAATGTTTCAACTTGTAAATCAGGATGTCATGATTTACAGTATCGAAAGCTTTTTTTAAGTCTAAAAAAGTTGCACTAACATACTCTTTCTTTTCTAGTCTATCGTAGATAAATGATGTAGTGTCTAAAATAGCATGCGATGTGGAATGACTGTTTTGAAAACCGAATTGAGATTTATTTATGACATCATATTTATTGAAAAAACTAGTAAGCCTCTTATGAATCAGGCGTTCAAAAATTTTATCAATCGTTGAAAGGATTGATATCGGTCTATAATTTGACACGAGTTTTTTATTTCCAGATTTAGAAGAGGAATTACTCTTGCAATTTTGAGAGAAGAAGGAAATATGCCGAGAGAGAGTGAGCAATTGAAGAACTCTGTCAGACATGGAGCGATGAGGTCAGCAACTAATTTAAGAAAGCGAGCTGGAATATTATCTGGCCCAACTGCCTTCCTATCCTTCAAATTTTGAATTTCTACCAACAATTCATTAGAAGTAGTCGGACTCAAAAATATAGACTGGCTCAGAGGATTATGAAGAAGTTGTTTGAAGTTACCCGAATCATTAGAAAACTTTTCTGAGAGGCTGGACCCTATGGTTGAGAAGTACTCATTAAATTCAGTTGATATCGAAAAGTCATCTTTGGTGATACTGCCATTTTTCAGATAAATTTCCTTAACTTTTTGTCTTGATTTATTATGCGTGTGCGTAATTTGGTTAACTATTTGCCATGTCGATCTCGGGTTGCCTCTGTTTTGGGCAATAAGGTTTTGGTAATAAATTTGCTTTGCTCTATCTACAGTTCTTGTCAGAACATTCCGATAATTTTTAAAGTACGAGCATTGAGAGCTGTTACCCCTCAAAAAATGAGATTTGAATAATTTATTTTTGCGTCGAATACAAGTAATCAATCCTTTAGTTAGCCAGGGTTTTAGTCTTATCCTTTTCTGACGACGTGAAAGTGGTTGTAAAGGGGCATGTCGATCAATCAAAGAAACAAATGATTGTACAAATTCGTCAAAGACACTGTCAAAGTTTTGTGAATTTAATTGAAGTGTGGTGAATTGGTTGTTAAGAATGCCTGTTATATCTGAACGAAAAGTGTCCAGAGAGAATGTGGACATGTCCCTTGACAATACACAATTATTAGAAGATGTTGGTTTTATGCCATTCAGGCTGTATTCAGAATGTATGCCGACGCTTTCCTCCGTCATGGGATTGTTCCAGTGAACAATTTTTTGGTTGATAAGGCCCAAGACGTTGTACCTCTAATTTTTGTTCCAGCGGCAGCTGCGAAAACGGAGTGCGAAGTAGTGCATCAACCTTATTCATTATGAGGTCTAAGGCTAAGAAATTCGAAGCCGGAAAGAAGTGAGGAGCTCAAAAGGGATGTGGAAAATCGAAAGCAAATGGACTAAAGGTCTCTAACTGATTCAAATAGCGAAACAAGCGACAAAAACGAAGGCGAATATCCTTTGACCCCCGATAAATTCTTAATAAAACCAAAAATCCCGATCTTAATACAACCAAATATCTCTATCCCATCTCAATACAATCAAAGGTCCCAATTCCCATCTGAATACAACCAAACATCCCAATTCCCATCTTAATACAACCAAAAATTCCATTTTCCATCTCGAAACAACCAAATATCCCAATTCCCATCTTTTCCCGACCTTTGACCGCCGAAAAGTTCTTAACTCAACCAAATATCCCGATTACATCTTAATACAACCAAACTTCCAATTCCCTTCTTAATCAATCAATCAATCAATCATTTATTCGTCGTCACAAAAACATCAAATGCACAAAAAATTGGTACAATAAATAAATATAATAATAATGATATTTGTGCGACAGGAGTCAAATAAATAAGCAGGAGTTTAATAAAACCAAATATTCCAATTCCCATCTTAATACAACCAAACACACCATTTACCTTCTTAATACAACCAAATATCCCAATTCCAACTTAATACAACCAAGCATCTCTATCCCATCTGAATACAACCAAAAGTCCCAATTCCCATCTTAATACAAACAAATATCTCAATTGCATCTTAATACAACCAAACTTCCAATTCCCGTCTTAATACAACCAAATATCACAATTCACATCTTAATACAACCAAATATTCCACTTCCAACTAAATACAACCAAAGATCTCTATCCCATCTGAATACAACCAAAAGTCCCAATTCTCTTCTTAATACAACCAAACTTCCCAATTCCCGTCTTAATACAACCAAAAATCACAATTCCCATCTTAATACAACCAAATTCCCCATTCCCATCTTAATACAACCAAATATCCCAATTCTCATCTTTCCCCGACTTTTGACCCCCGAAAAATTCTTAATACAATCAAATATCGAAATCCCATCCCATCTCAATACAACCAAAAGTCCCAATTCCCGTCTTAATACAACCAAACATCCCAATTCCCATCTTAATACAACCAAATATTCCAATTCCCATCTTAATACAACCAAATATCCCAATTCCCATCTTTCCCACCTTCCCAAAAATCTTAATACAACCAAAATTCCCATCTATAACTAAAAATCCCATTTAATACAACCAAATATCCCAATTCCCCTTAATACAAAAAATATCAATCCCATCTTAATACAACCAAAAATCGATCCCATCTTTACAACCAAACATCCTATCCATCCTAATACAAACAAATATCGTAATCCCATCCCATCTTAATACAACCAAATAACCAGGGGTGGGCAATTACTTTTCTGAGTGAGCCGGATACAGATATTAGACTTGGTTACTGGGCCGGATGCTTAATAGTGTTATGATGCGGGCAAATCCCTATCCCGGGGTCATTTTGAATATAATTCCGGGATTTGATACGTGACGTAGTGTTCTTCTAAACTTCCTAGATTGATTCGTCAAATAATTGCTGACTTGGCGACAAATATCCTTCAATGATTGTTTTGTAGGCTACTGGAGAATTCGATCAAGATACAATTTAAAACCTATTTGATCGAAAAATAGCAAAGACGACGACGGCGACGACACTGAAATGACGCTGGCACAGGAACGCCTTCGTTGCACGCGATGGAAACAAAGGAACGAAGGGTTGCTTATCGATGTCCAACGGTGGTTGAGAAAGAAATTCTGCTATGTGAGGCAAGGAGGAGAGAGGACAGAAAACATTGGAAAAGTTGTATGATGCACTTAAAACAACCGAACCTACGTTAGTTGAAACTTAGCGTATATTTTCAGCAAGTGAATTTTTGGCGCTCCAAGAGTGTTCGTACCAAGATGATGCACAACCCGTACACATACTTCGAGAGAACCGATTTTTTGCCAACAAAATCAGGAATCGCCTCAACCATGACTCTCCCAATGCTCATGTTTTTTGCATAAGAAACCAACACGACAGTGTTTGTTTTAATTCCATTCATCCCGGGATTTGATGGTGAAAACCCCAACCTCGGGATTTCAAATCTGGCTCCGAAATAACAACCTGCTCTAAACTTAAAATGAAATAAAACGGTTTATTTGCAAATAACAAGACACTTATGATTAATGGAACTAGTACATGCGCCTGAAATCTTGTTTAAATCAGGCTCTAAGCTGCTTGCGGTGATTTTTAAAACTGATTGTAAATTTGAGTCCGTTAGCAAGATATGTTTTTGTTTCTGTTGATCTCCGTACACGAGAAGGTTTGCTCGCATATGTATGTATGTTGACGCAATCACCAGAAACATTTTTCTTGCGAAATCTTTGATAATTTTGAATTTTTCATGATTACGTGATTGATAAAACTCAACAAATGACTTCTCTTAAAACTGCTTTTTGAAGCATTGTCAGCTTGGGGATCTAGGAGTTCCACTTGTAACTCGTCAGCGACCGTTTAAACATTATATGAGAATGAGGACTTCATTAAATGAAATTCATGCTCCATAGCATTGAAATCAAAGACAGAATAACTGGATTTATGTACTTAAATTGATGTACCAGACAACAGGAAAGAACACGTGTTGCGGCATTTGCGATCCCGCGAAAACATTTGCAGGACTAAACACTGATATATCAGACGCTACGGGAGTTTTTGAAGACAAAAATGATTCGAATAGGTGATTTTGCACTTTATATGATGATGATATGTCGGGAATTACGTTATTTACTTTAGCGTTTGTTATTTGTCCGATATTTTCAACAAAAATTTATATCCATGAAAACTATAGTCATCTCCGCAGGCACAAGTGGGCCGGATGAAACACTAAAGTAAGCCGGATCCAGCCCGCAGGCCGTAATTTGCCCACCCCTGAAATAACCTATCCACCTTAATACAACCAAATATTTCTTTCCATCTTATTAAAACCAAACATCATGATCCCTTCTTAATACAACCAAACAACTCAGTTCATCTTATTACAGCCAAATATCCCTATTCGTTTTAATACAACCAAATATCGAAATCAGTCCCATCTTAATACTACCAAATATCCCAATTCCCTTAAGATGGGAATTTGGACATTTGGTTGTATTAAGATGGGATTTGGATATTTGGTTGTATTAAGAAGGGTATTGTAATATTTGGTTGTATTAACTTGGGATGGGAACATGATGTTTGGATGTAGTAAGATGGGATTGAGATATTTGGTTGTATTAAGATAAGATATGGATATTTGGTTGTATTAAGATGAGAATTGGGAGATTTGTTTGTAATAAGATGAAAAATGGGAATCTTTGTTGTATTAAGATGGGAATTTCGATACTTGGTTGTATTAAGAAGGGAATTGGAATATTTGGTTGTATTATGATGGAATTGGGATTCTTGGTTGTATTAATACAACCAAATACCTCAATATCATCTTAGTACAAACAAATTTCTAATACCCATCCTAACGAAATTCACCATTCTGCTAAATCGGTTCAAGCACAATAACCACTTAGATGGGAGAACTCTAGTAGCCTAGTGCTTAGGTTGAATATGTGCTCGAATCTAACCTATACATTCTATGGACCTTTCCCCGACCTTTGACCCCCGAAAAATTCTTTTTATACTTTACTATTGCAAAAGTTTAGGGGCTATTTTAAGAGTGGTTTCACGAGTTGGCACCTGTAAAATGGTCTATGTGTTCCAGACCAACATTATGATTCATCATATACAAATGGGCCGAATTATGTCGAGTTATGATGAATGGGCCAGGGTCAGGGAAAGACCACGTTTCATCATAACTCGTCATAATTCATAATCGCTGACATTTTTAACCTCCGAGTGTGTGATCATTGCCTGATTCAACAGTGAGTAACCGACATTAAAATATTTCAAATTAATTTCAATCAAAAAAATTCAAACGATCACTGCACGATTTACGTCAATACACCATTGGTTTCGAGGAATCAAAATTTAAAAATTTTTGCCGTTTTGAACTAGCATAACCCTGGCATCCCATTTTTCACATTTTAACCATTGCCAACGAAATAGCAATGCAAATGAGGCCGCCATCAATCTCGCATTTGTTTGCTGTTATCCGAATTTATAGAAAAAGTTTCCAACCTTCATTCCCTAAGTTACCTCTTTGCAAATTTAAAATAAAATTTAACCCCTCATGGCAAAACCCAATTATTTTATGTCCATGCATTTATACGTATGATATGTCAGTGTTTGGAAAATATAGTGAGGGATTCGAGTAAAATTATAATCAGAATGTCTTACTGATATATTTAAATACAGATAGCGTTAAATTTGCGTTGGGCTGTTTGAACAGAAAGTAAATGATTGACGTGAGCTTCCGCGATTTTCTTAAACGATAACCATCTCGTATCATTACGAATGTGTTTTGGAAATGCGTTACTTTGAAATCATGGAGTTACTCATGAACGATACAGCGGAAATTTAGACGAACGATGGCGGGAATTGCAAAGAAGTTTGGATAATATTGTCTGGTTTGAACAAAAAGTAAATGATTGACGTATACTTCCGCGATTTTTTTAAACGATAATGATCTCGTATAATCACGAATGTGTTTTGGAAATGCGTTACTTTGAAATCATGGAGTTACTCATGAACGATACAGCGGAAATTTAGACGAACGATAGCGGGAATCGCACAGAAATTTTTGATAATATTGAGTGGTTCTCAGCGCCATATGCTATACTATGCCTACATCGACATATTCAATACCTTTAATCTAGTGCCAGCCTGGACCAAAGCTCTATACATTCTTTGGGGAGCAAGCCTAATTTATTAATCCTAGTTTGACTGTGACACAAACATAAATTCAGCGCAGCAACACACGACCATGGAATGTTATGTTAAAAAGAACAGACATATGCCACTAATATCGCTCGGCCATATATGAAATCAACGCACGTAGCGCCAAATAAGGCCACGTTACATCTGCTACTCTACATTGATATACGAATATGGAATCCCAAAGTTACCGTATTTTACGGACCATAGGGTGCACCGTCAATGAATTGCTTAGGCCTAGGGGGTTTGTAAATGCATAAGGCGAACAGGGCGAACATAAAGCACTACCTAGCACACGCATATGCCTCACCGTCATTAAATGCGGTGGCTGGGGCTTTATGCTTACATAGGACGCACCGGACTAGAAGGCGTAGCCCGTACTGGTGTTGAGTGTAGCGTTACGTTATCCATGCATTTGTGTAATTGGCCTACAAGGCGCACGATCAATTTTCAGGATAAAGATGGATAAATAAAATATTATAGTGACTAATAATAACGATTTTCCCAATGTTTGGGTTGCGAGATATTAATAAAACAAAATATAATTCAATCCGAATTATGTTGGGTTTTTATAGTATTCTGACTTTCAATTCTCCCTTCAATTCACCTATGCTATAAAAAAGGTTGCATATAACAAATATTTCCAGTGAAAGTGGGAATTGTGACGCGACAATTCCTACACGAGTTAGATTTCTCATAAAAATGTTGTCGGAAACAATATGACCGCCCTGCTTGATTCGTCACAAAGCTAATTAAATTTAAAATCATAGTAGCAAAAATGTCGGCAATTTTTGGGCTCATGGTAAATATTGGGGGGGGGGGTTGGCGGACAGGGTCAGGGAAAGACCACGTTTCATCATAACTCGACATAATTCATAATCGCTGACATTTCTAACTCCCGAGTGTGTGATCATTGCCCGATTCAACAGTGAGTAACCGACATAAAAAAAAATTTCAAATTAATTTCAATCAAAAAATTCAAACGAGCACTGCACGATTTAAGTCAATACACCATTGGTTTCGAGGAATCAAAATTTGAAAATTGTTGCCGTTTTGAACTAGTATAACCCTGGCATCCGATTTTTCACATTTTAACCATTGCCAACGAAATAGCAATGCAAATAAAGCCGCCATCTATCTCGTCTTTGTTTGCTGTTATCGGAATTTATAGAAAAAGTTTCCAGCCTTTATTTCCTAATTTACCTCTTTGCGAATTTAAAATAAAATTAAACCCCTCATGGCAAAACCCAATTTTTTTATGTCCATAAATCCCGGCATTTTAATGCATTTATACGTATGGTCAGTGTTTGGAAAATATAGTGAGGGATTCGAGTAAATTTATAATCAGAATGTCTTACTCATATATTTGAATACAGATAGCGTTATATTTGCGTTGGGCTGTTTGAACAGAAAGTAAATGATTGACGTGAGCTTCCGCGATTTTTTTAAACGATAACCATCTCGTATCATTACGAATGTGTTTTGGAAATGCGTTACTTTGAAATCATGGAGTTACTCATGAGCGATAAAGCGGAAATTTAGACGAACTATAGCGGGAATTGCACAAGAAGTTTGAATAATATTGTCTGGTTTGAACAGAAAGTATATGATTGACGTCTACTTCCACGATTTTTTTTAAACGATAATGATCTCGTATAATAACGAATGTGTTTTGAAAATGCGTTACTTTGAAATCATGATGTTAGTCATGAACGATACAGCGGAAATTTAGACGAACGATAGCGGGAATCGCACAGAAATTTATACTATACTTACTATGCCTACATCGACATTTTCAATACCTTTAATCTAGTGCCAGCCTGGACCAAAGCTCTATACATTCTTTGGGAGCAAACCTAAATTTATTAATCCTATTTGACTGTGAC